CATATTTTTTACATTCTCGTTGTTTAGGTGAGCAACAACTGGGCTTATCATCCAGTTAAGGTTTACGTCAAGGATCACGGACATCACGACGCTGCATAACTCACTAGAGGCTGATGTAAACATTTGTGTAGATCTCTTCTAAAGCTTTCTAACTTAATATTTTAAATGTCTTATTAAAAAATCTAAATAAAAATTTATTCTCATATAAAATTCTAAGAGCAATTTTAAACTTTTTTTATGCACTAAGCGTATCAACATCAAGGTACATCTGATGTCAAGCTGCTATCAGTCAAATGACAAAAAATATCTTTTGTGGTAAAGTACAAATTATATTTTTTTGAAACAGCTTATAGATATTTGGTCTCCCTTTTGTAGTATTGTTAATAAAAAGTTATCTGTCCTATCTTAGTGTAGGAAACACAATTTGTGATTATATAAAAAAAAATACTATATAATACTACTAATGTAACATTTAAATATACTAATAAGTAATTCCTCTGTACCTATGAATTTGTAAGTACCTAAGTCAACGTGTGTGTACCTAATTGTATGAATGTGTATGAAAGTAAACTATATGAAACCCTGAGGAACTTTATTTTATTCCTATAAGCAGATTTTTTTAAAATGGTATAAGCTATTTTCGTTTTGATGTCTCCAGAGACCAAAAAACCATCCGTTCCAATTCATATAGTCCGTTAGAAAAATTACTCAGGTAAAAATGATCAGATTTTGATGGAGTGTGGTACAGAAGTATTCACTTTGTACAGTACCACTTCATCGAACGAGTTCGTGAAAACGATCGAACTATTGGAATATTGTTTTGTGTTAAATTTAGTTTTCTCTTTATTCAAGCTTAATAGATTAAATTTCACATTTTATTTCCACTCCCTTTGGATATAATGCATATATTATATTTGTAATGCATTGCAGTACAATTGTTACCAAGAAAAAACGGAAAAAACTGTACATGTAAAATGCTCATGTTATTCGTACGTAAAATAGGTAAAATGCTATAGATTGGTTTTTTGTAGGTGTACTAAAACATGTTGGAATGTGTTTACTTTTTTATTTGTTTTTGTTTTAGCTATTAAAATTTACTATGAAACACACTTGATAACCTTCTCAGTAGAGGGACACCTAAGTACCCGATCAACCTTAAGGAAAAGTTATCACATTATTAAGATAATATTTAAATAAATGTTCAATCAGGCAAATTGAAATTCACTTAGTCTACAGGATGGCTGGTGATTTATGTTAAACTTGTTCAGTCATTTTAATGATAAATGGGATATATAATTTGTTTATTCATCATTTAGTAACACTTATTTTATTATAAAATCTATGAAAGTTTAAGATAACTCTATAATCAATTTCTAATTTAACATGGCTTACGACTTGATTTGTAGTGGCCCCACAAAAAGTAAATAGGATAATTATTAGCTATCCAGCGAGTTGACCTAGAGCATGGACAGTTCACGTAATATTCATGTGACGTAGGTAATCACAGCTGAACCTGTCAATGTCAGCTGTGTCATATTTTATTGTGCAACTCACTCATGTGTCAGATGTTTTATGGAACTCTTTCATTCATTGTTGTCATGTAAAATGTATGAAATCGGAACAATGTTTTATTATTTGGGAACAATAACGTTAAAAAATAATTTGAAATTTATAAAAACAAATCCTTATCATTTAACATTTTATTTTTCTGTAGGACGACAATTCATTGATAGAGTGATGAAAAAATAAATCTTCGTGGAAAATAGTTGTTCGTAGTTTTTTTTTTTTACAAAATCTGAATTGATCTAGGAAAAAAATGGCAACTGTTCTATGCCAAATTCTAACGATACATTTTTAATTTATAACTTGCTCTTTAGCTGAAGAGTTGTAAAGGTTGTGATAGTTTCCTTCACCCCCCTTAATTTGGTCACGTTTACAAATGCGGTCAAAATGAGGTACTGTTTGAGAATCTCCCCTTAAAACACTTAAATTATAGTCATAACCCTTAAGACATTCTTGGTATAATCTATCTTTGAGTAAAGGTAGGTCATTATATCGCTAGGTAACCTAATAATTGAACCTAATAATTGGTAACCTAATTGTTGAAGTGCTCGATTCGCCTTCAAAATGGCCGGTTCGATCCTAGGAAAAAAACAACAGCTTCTTAAATGTTCTCAACCAGTCTCAGGGGATTTGGGCTTTTAATAAAAAATGGTTCTGACTAAAACGGTGGAAGGTCTCACTCAGTTCCAAAGCTACACAGATCACCTCAATCATCTTTATTCTTATTTTGTGAAAATGTTAATCTTAAAATACGCACTAGGAGATATGCTCTTTTAAAACTATGATTATGGTAATGATTATGGCAACGATAACTATAATTGTAATTAGTGGATTTTTTATTACATACACCTCATTTTACATATGCTATGGTAGATAAGCAAACAATTAAACCATAAATTTGTGGTATGGACCATAATATTTTATCCGTTAGAGAGGGAAGCCGTCACACACCAGAATGAGACTATCTAACACCTGCTGTTGAGTTGAAGATAAATCTTGCACGCTACATCTAGTTGAGTGAGCATGCGGCAAGAATGAGATGAAAGTATTGTAATGCCGGAGATTAGCGCAGACCAATGGGCAGCGACAGACAGATGACGAAACAGTCAGGTGCACTGGGAAGTGGTCAAAATATAATACATCTGTAGCAACAAACCTGCATACTACAATAAAGATGAAGATTGAATTGCACCCACTACTCCAGGGAGCCACCCAATACGTTCATTAACTGCACCAAATGGTGGCCCTCTTTGACTTTATAATTGAGTAGTTTATGTTAGGTTGGGTTTCGTTAAGTTAGGTTAGGATGACATGATTGTAAACAAGGACATTCCTTCTGGCGGCAACTCACCCCTACCTGGCCGTTCTAGGACCATGTCCTCTTCAGCCAGGATCATACAAGTAGCTTAAAAATATTGGTCTTATTATAAGACTCGTAGTTTGTGGTCATCAATGATCCAAAGGGCATGTTTTAATCCTAGACATAGCTCTGGTCATCTTCCTACAATTACAGAATTTGCCATGGGCATATCCTCACGTTTTGTCCAGTTTTCTCCCACGACACCTGATATTATAAAAGTGAATCTAACAAGCGAACTTTCAAGAGAGAAATGCATAGCTCGTCCATTTACTGTTGTGCTTGCAAATAATTAAGTTATTTTCATTGATTTTCAATTAAACGATAAAATAGTCAAGTTTTCAAGATCGTATTATATTTTTATGAAATGTGTAGAAGTAGAAGAAATATCTCGTGATTCAACTATAACTGTAATGATATTGGGCCAATGCGTAGTTTTTAATGATCCAAGGAAAATGTAGTGTTTTGATTGGTCTAGTCTTACTCGGTCATAGGGTCCAAGGAAAAAATATTTTAAAATGTTATTAAAAAAAACGAACTGGAGACAACCCTTTTGGCATCTTTTGTCTTTTAAACTAGTAAATGGTAGACTGATTTTTGTTATGTGGAAGGACAGTTAAAGACTTGATTTGAATATTATGTTTGAGTGTATAAACATATAGTTTTGTCATCATAAACACAGTTCGGACGGTGTATTTGTTACAAAATAACACTGGAGCATGAAATTCCAACGTTTCCATAACAAAACCTAGGTACCGAGACTACCATAACAACCACTACCATGGGGATCTTAAGAATGATAAACTAAAATCCATTGTAATATACACGTATTACAAACTATAATACGTAGTTTTTTATAGATTAATCTTTTATCTGATTGTTCCACGTAATATATAAAAAAATATACCAAACATTCTAGTATAAAACGTTTAATGATTTCCATTGCGTGTAAACTAGTCATGTAAAGGTAATTAATCAAAATTACTTGATCTGTGTAGTTTTGAGGAGATTTTAGTATTCTTTGTGGAAGAGAGGGGCCGTGCTTAAAAAGAAGTCTCGCAGATAGTAGCAGCGACCACAGAATTAAAATGTTGAATTAAAATTACAATTATTTTTAATTCTGTGGTCGTTGAATAGGAATTATGTTGAAATTAAGTATAACACATTTGAAAAGATATTTCACAAACACAAGTAAACCTCTTGAAAAACACGAACTTAGGGAGCAGTTAGATGAATAGTGACGACAACATAATATTCTGTGAAATATATCACAATTGCAAGGCATTTTCAAGGAGAAGGGGTGCCACTATTGGAATTTGCCCTATTCAAATGAAGGTCTTGTAAATGATAAATAGTCGATATATGTACATATAATACTCACAAATAAAGTAGCTTAGACTCTTGCGAACTTATCCAAACATCGTTCAAACTACAGTGAACCTCGATAACAAGTCTCATGAGCGTTATTAAATAAGACTTGTTATCAAGGTTGACTTCTTATCGAGGTTTGCAACTAATACGATAAGGGGTAATATGATAAGGGGGTAAGGGAGACAAAGTCAAGGGGATTTTATAATGACCCTCATTATCAAGGGAGACTTGCTATTGAGGTTTCCCTGGAATTAGTTTTACTCTAAATCTCATATTATTGCAAGTATTATGTAGTAATCATCATAGGAGTCTTGTTATTGAGGTTCTACTGTACTTACGTGCAATTCTTTAAGTACTTTTCTTTATTCCCAAAACTCTCGTACACTTTGATATTTTTCCTTTCGGTCTACATCTTTTCCTTTCCTTTTCTCATTGGGGTGCAGCACCTTACATATTACAATATCACACCTTTTAAAAATTAAATAAAAACAATTAAATCCCAACAATATGATACAAAAATCTTTCAAACCACTGTGTGCAACTCGGTACCGACAATAGATTAACCAAACTGTATACTGTAGCCAGTAATTATCTAGTATTGAGCTAGTGACTAGTGAATGAAGCGGTGTTGTCACGGTAGAAAGGGAGTGCTGAAACCAGGCAGTGCGTGGTATATATACAGCTGTCACTCAACGTCTCAACACTACTGCTGCACCGACCATCATCAGGCCACAGACATGATCAAGGCAACACAGGTAAGTAGATATACTGGTGTTTAAATATATGAGGCAATATATTTTTGAGTAAATAATAGGCCTATAAATAATAAATTGGATTTAAATTTTTGGAAAGGGTTTGGATTTTATTATTAGGTGTTTAATCATTTAACGCAGCTTCCGTTGTGATTTTTAAATGATAGTGTATATTGGTTTTACACAACTACGTTAATTTACATTAATTACGTTAATTTTTATAGTTACCATTTAAGTAGGTTTTTACGTCAATAGCTTGAGTTGGTTCGATTACAAAAATTAATTCTGTTCAGTTGAAATATAGATTTAATTTCATTTACTATGTAATAAAACTGTTAAAATAAAATATTTATTTTTTTTTAATTATTAATTTGTTTTTATTTAATTATTTTTTTTTATTTATAGAAAAATATTTTTTTATTATTTTACAATTTAAAATGTTCCCTAAATTGTAATAACTGTACATTCTAGACTCTTTAAGGAGTTTTCCTCTCATCGCTTATAATAAAAAAAACTACATAAATAAAATTAATACCTAGTAAATGTCTTAGTATTCCTACCAATATAACCGAAAAGATGTTTAAAAGACGTATAGATTTTCTATAATACTTAGTATGAATAATATTAACTTTTCAGCTAACGTTTTAAAACATTTATTTTGGCGAACGAAAAAGATTACTCTTACAGTTTGTTATTGTATGCATATATTTATCTAATTATACAGTTCCATTTACCTATAAATATAAATAACATTGTTTCAAGTAAAGCTTTGTTAAAAACTTCGTCATGTTTTAGAAAGTCTAATAGCTTGTTTCTTTTTAATAAGTGAAAGTGAAGCATTTGTATTAATGGTATTAAAGTAAATAAATTAATAATTTGTATTAAGCAATTTATATTAATAGCTACTATAACGGGTTTGCGTGTTGTAAAAATCACTAGACACCAGTCCATAATGTTCGAACTAATCTTCCCATGTATCAATACGTCATTGTTTACTACCAGCGTGTAATTCTACTTCAGCTGGGCCATTTTCTGCCAAAGCAGATACAATCTGTCCGACAGTCTGTCAATAAATAGCATAACTTTTAAAAACAAATATTTGTATATTGTTGTATTGTTTTGGCTCTAGGTATTAACATTGCACCCTAGACGTTGTAAAACAGACGGGAACATATTTAAAATAGAGTATTAGATGGTAAAAGTATGTATTTCATTCAAATCACATACTAACACAACCTTTTGATGATCCGCTATGTTTCAATCAAACAGCCGTTTTTGTTTGTTTATAACTATGTGACTGCCTATCTATTACTTTAACATTATGTACCGAGTATTGAGACTTTCTTGTTGACGTTTTTCTTCTTTTTTTTGCTAGTAAGATCTACAAAGGAAACATACACTCTAAAGATGTAAACGAAGTCATTGGAGCTGCTCAATATTCGGTTTGGCTATATGACTGTTTTAACTACACCCACTAAAAGAGTAAAATTGTGTCATAAACTATAAAAGTATAATTTTCACCTGTACAGTATGTTACCCCGTAATACAGTAAATTTTACTAAAAAAACACGACAAGTGTATATCACGGCTCCTAGCCTAGAAATATCGGCTCACAGTTCTTGATTACATTGTAGTTCAATGCACTAAAAACTACTTTGCACTCTCCCAGCCCCTTGATTTCTTTTGTGACGATTCGTATACATTATGCATACATGGTGAATGTAACCTGTTGCACATTAAACTGTTGTGACGAACCATGTCATAATTAATAAAAAAATGCAAACTGGGTACTGCATAAAAATCATGTTTGTTATGAAGATTTCTACTAACTATGACATGAGTAATTATTTAATGGATACACATAAAGCGAGCGCTGTGTCGCAAGCACGGGACCAGTAGACCGGCAAATTGTGCACATATTGTCCTGCAGTGGCTGCCTTTCTAGCAATACCGACCACAAAAGAGTTATTAGTCTAGTCACTATGAGCTGTTGGCAAGTGAAGGTTGTATCATTTGTGAAGTTTTTATACAACAGCTATTATCCATTCTTAAAAATCATGTCACAACCCTCGTTACGAAAGAGTTGCAAGTATCCTATAAGTTATTATAGAATTTTTAAATTAAACCTCAGTAGCATTTAACCGTCGTATTTATGAATGTAAATACTATAAACTAGATATCAGAAACACTGATTCTTCCATAATTTGCCGATTTCGTATGGTCAAGTGCCATCGGATAAATTATTTCCTCTCCAAGTGTGGGTAAGGCTAGCTCAAACAGATGCTTAGTTTTAACATCGACTTTTGCATTTTATAGGGCTCAAAACTTTAGTCGTACCAAATACTGCAATACCCTTTCATGTTTCATAGATTAGCCTATGCTTTGTTTAAGAAAATCATTAGGTAAATGAAACACCTAATTCTCTAATTCAGAATCAGTTGAAGTTGTTATTGTAGATTTATACAATAAAGAATTATTTACTACTCAATAAATCATTAAAACTAAAATAGCCTGAGCCACAGAGAAGCCTAGACTAATTAAATATTTCGTCTCTTGTTTACTATATGACTGTAATTAACAAACTTTTAAGCAATCTCTTCCATGGGGCGCACTCCACATTGGCCTGTACCCAGAGACGTTTCTCAAAATTTCTCAAATTTCTCAAAATCTGCAACGCCTCGAGGGATGAAGTAGCTTCTTAGCGTTCTTAGACTAATGTTAGCCAAACTGACTGTAGAGATGCTGTAGTTTATTAGGCAAGGCTACCCAATTAATCATGTTCCCGGTCGGTTAGTCAGTTATGCTTCACCGCGCGGCTACGAAATTTGTCATGACTGTCGAAAGCTCCCCCTTCCTTCGGCTTCTATTGGTTATTGAAACGCCTAAGTGGGTGTTTCTGGTGTTCCATGCTCTACTTCTGGTGGCATTTCAAACCTTACGTTCATGGGGTTTTGTTTGGTATTCTGTAGCTTGTCGTGTTATAACTTTAGAATGGATTCGTAGCGATTTCACCTGTTGTCGGTAGACCTATGTTATACTGAATTCCTCTCCTTCCGTTCAAGAATTAGGGGCCTTATCCAACCTCACAAAATTTATCCTTCTATGTTTTTCCACCCAATTATTACTCTTGAGGTTGTAATTGAATAAAATAGTTTTGTACTATAAAGGCAAGTACTTACAGTTTAAGAAATTATATAACATTTAAATTCAAAGTAGAAAGAGTAGTGCTTCATGAAAAAATTACACTCAGACTCACTCCCAAGATAAACAAAAATACGCCCATTTTCATGTAAGCTGGGTAGCTGAGTGGCTATAGTACCGGTACTCGCCTGGTAATCAAAAGGTCGCCGGTATGATCGTGAGAAGAGTCGCTTTTTGATGGTTCAAAACTGACCTTCATCATAGATAAAGTAATATTCTTTTACACATACTATACATAGCATGATGTTCTTTCTATTATTGAAACCATTGATTGGAAAATGTAATTTAATTTCTTTAAAATACAAAGAGCACAACCCGAACTGATTTCTTCATCATATTGCATGGAGTGCGGTATTTGCAACGTAACATGTGAACATACTGTTTTCTCGGGGAACTTAAACGGTCTTTGTTGACCATGACTTGCCAGAATGAAGGCAGGGAAACATCATTGCACGTAACGCATTGCGTAACGCATGTAACACATGTAAAGCCCTAGCATACAGTCCTGCATTTGATTTTAAGTGATGTAGGGCTAAATAATCAACTCGTTAATTTGATTCATTTATTTTTTTCCAACGGTACATACCAATTTACGTAATACTGTTACAAGTTGTTTGACAAAAATAATTGATAAAAGAACAATTTACAGTAATTAAGCATAACAAAACAATAAATAATACATAAAATTTTGGGAATTGGAAAAATCTAGACGTTCTAGCCATTTGTTAAAAGAAGATGTAATCACTTTATTAATTTGATGAATAAAGTAAAGATTACTTGCTGCAGCTTAGGTAAGAAATGTGATGTTTATTTATTTACTTAACTTGCTGTAACCCGCGGGCTTTGCCCCGTTTAACTTCTTAATTTTCAAGATGATCTAGTTTGCATGGCTCAATCACGTCCTGGTTGAAGTCAAAGTCAAAGTCAAAGTCAAAGTATTTTTTATTTCCAAATTTTTACAAATTTGAATGAAATATAAAACAATTTCTTAGCATGTATCTTAAAAATACAAACTTGTTTTTTGATGATAAGAAACCTACATAGACACATACTTAATTGCTCACTAAACACAATGAAAATTTAAATCTTACCTACAAATTAGTCTATATGGAAATAAAATACTAACGTGCTAGGAAAGAATTTCCTGCTCGCACGTAGGAGTTACAAGTCTGAATACAAAGTGATTAAAATAAAATATTAGCTAACATGAAATGACAATATAAATTAATGGCCCATCTTGACAAATTTATATACAATTCCTGTTTATAGAAAAATAGGACATAAAAATTAACAAAGGTCTTGAGATTTAACAAAAAATCTTATTGAACAGATGGTTGAACATAATTTTTAATATATAACCACAGAATCTCTTCCTTAAATTAAGTGATACTACAAATTATCCTCGATAAATTACTGAAAATTTTATCGATAACTTGATTTATTTGACAGTGAGAAAGATTGGAAAATTCATTATTGCATTATCAAAAATAGTTTATGGAAATTGTCTGTCGACATACTCAATAAGTATGTTTTTAATGATTTCTTTAAGGAATGGTCTGAATTTATATTTAAAATACTTTTACGAATAATATTAAGAAATTTAGGACCCAGGTAAGCGAAGGTCTTTTGGAAAAAAGAAGTATTAGGTTTTGGAAGTTTTACATTAAGAGCATAAAGAGGGAGTACGTTTTAATCTTTAGCTATGCTATCCCATTTTTCTTATGTAATTAATTGGATTAATGCTCCTTTGCAAGAATTCGTACATACATTTTGGATAATATGGAGTCTCGATAGAATCATCTTGTCTAGTTTAGTGAAGATTCAACCAGTTCTGTATTTGATCTCAATCATTTCTCCAGGTATTGCTGCTTCTGGCTATGGTAGTCTGCCTGACCACTGCACTACCCGCCCCAGGACATTACGGTGGGGGTGGCTACGGTGGGGGCGGCTACGGTGGAGGCGGTCATGGCCACGGACACGCCACATCGTACCACAACTACAACCTGCACAGCTACCATCCTGTCAAGGTATGTAATAATATAGGTGTAGAATATTTTTTAATTTACTGCGGAGCAGTTAGACGAATATTGACGACAAGATAATATTCAGTGAAATATATCACCATTGCATGGTCTTTTCAAGAAAAAGAGGCGCCCCTCTTTTTCTTGAAAATTTCGTAAACTATGGAACCCACGTTTGAAATTTTAAACTATTAAAATTTGCCCTATACAGATGAAGGTCAAGTAAATAATAAATATTACATATATATATACATATAATAGTCACAAATAAAATAGCTTATACTTCGTAAGGGAACAAACCTGGTAGAGTGCAGGACCTCGGTCCCTGAGGTCCCGGGTTCAATTCCGCCAAATCACCAATTGATTTTATCTAAGGGATAATGACGCAACCCTGAAGTAATGTTAAAAATCGATCCCAAGCTTGAACCAAGCGCCATAGAACAAAAATGGGACAAACCTAACATGTTCTAACCTGGGTTCCTTCCCATCATCGTGCACATTCAGCTGTGGCTGCCGTAGTCCTTAGGATTTCTACACGAAAATTCATGATGAAACTATTATGTTATTTATTTGTGTAAAATTAATTATGGGAGCATGAGAGTTGATAGTCCCTACAATGGTTTTTATGGAAGTTATTTAGGAGATAAAGGATTCAATAGCATGATAGAAATCTGGATAATGTAGACTTCTATGGAGACTATCCACCAAAAATACCAAGAACAAGAAAAAACTACGAGAAATAACATTATAAATATATTTAACGCTTTTGCACATCAACGGTTGCTGTTTGTATGGAGTGGGTGTGCACTTTTAGTAGCCTACTTACTAGACATCTACAAAAATCATTGTTCTTCATTGTGGATGACCTATATTGTGGTTAAGAGGTTTATTTGAACTAAAAGTTATCACACATGTACTATACTATTCACTATTACTTTTTGCTCCTCAGGTGCATGTAGGAGGTCACGGTCATGACGGTGGTGGTCATTACTGATCTTCTCACATCTTTGACATCATACATCAACCATCAACAATCGACCGTTAATCATCCTCGACATCCTTACAGAAATATCGGCCTCTGTCTCCTCTTAATATATTACTGTTTTATTAAAGCTTTTTGTTACAAGCTGCGTTCTGTAACCACCTAATGTCCTTAAACTTCTTCTGAAGTGTACAGTTGATCTTTAAAAGTACTACCAAAATGTATTTATTCATTATTTAGGTTTGTTATTGAGAAGGAAAAAGATTACTTGCAATATTTTCAGTTACACTATAACTAAAGTTATAATTCTCATTCTTAGAAAAAAATATTGCTGGAAATTTATTGATGTGCACAGGCGATCTTCAAGTTGCTTAATAGAGGATATAATTTATAATCAAAATATATAGACGTTCTAGTAGTATAATGTGTTAATGTTTCCTCCATAGCAACTGTTTTACATTAGTGTATCATTGAGATTACCTAAAAATGTTGTTTACAGTGTCTTTAGTAGCCTCTCATTTCCAGGCCACAAATTAATATGTTGCTTTTCCTAACAAAAATAATTACTAGTTGACATTTTAGTATTTCATTTTTATGTGTGTTAACTTATCAATATATAGCATGCTCTTTAACTCACATTTACCATTCATGAAAATATAGTAAATTATACAGAAATTATTTCAACATAATTACATTTAACATACTAGGTTATATCAATTTACACATAAATCATAATTTTTGAAGACAATTAATTACTACATTGTAATTTTTATAGATTATATGTGGTTATAGCTGATTAATAACACTAATAATCACCAGTATTTCTGTTGATAAAAATGGATCACTATTCAAGGTTATCAGCATTTATCGCATTGCGATATAAAATAAAGATTACTCCTCCCTTGGAAATACATTTATTATTCAAATGAACTCAAATAGAGAAGCTTTGATCTGATCATGATTGGGTATATTTAGGCGAACCCTGGACATTTTTGACAGTCATTGTTGAAAGAATAGAGGTGGTCGAGCTTTAATTTCAATAGAGACAAATTCAAACACTCACTTGCTTATATCTAAAGAATGTATTATGATTAATAAAGAGAGTAAACACTCTTTAAAACACCAGTTGTTTTATAAACTTTGTAAACAGGAAATATTTGTATCCAGAACTAAATACTTCAGTCAATATCACGTATGATTATGACTGTTCTAAAGAACCAAATTTTGTTTTAGGTTAATTTCCCTGTGTCAACATTTGTAAGAAATAATGGTATTTCAGTCTATTCCTGCTCGCATGCTGGCAACGTTGTGTCTCCGGGACGGGCATATCTCTGTAAAAAAGTATTTATTTCGTATTCGTATGTCGTGTGTCGTTGAATGTGTGTTTGCCTTTTAAAATCCATCGAAGCTAATCAATCAGATTCGATCTATTTATTTGCTGAAATGAAGTGTCTGACGATGGCATATAACCAAAACATGTAACACTATTGATACTTTTGGAACTGTATGACAGGTAATAAGAACACATATAATCATTATTGCAGTTCCGGGGATATCACAACGAATTATAAATAAAAAGGAAGAAAATTTTCTGTATTTCTTTTTGTACATTTCGCATTAAAAAAACGCACTAACAAAGCATTTTCGTCGTCTGTTTGGTGCGCACTCTGCAAATAATTATGAACGTAACATAGGTTTTTACATCCTTTAGCACTTATTTATCTGAAAATGATGTTTGTATACAATGTAGTTTTATTTTAATTTGTCTCTTAAATTTATGAAAGACCCTCTGAGGGGATATGCATGAATATAGTCTGCATAGTAGTGCCACACTGGCGCGATCCGCAACATAGATACACTCAGATATCAGTAACAACAACTAAACGAGCAGAAGGCGTTGTTTAAACATAATACACGATTGTTGTTTCTCAAAAAAAAAAAAAAAAAAAAAACAGTCGTGTAGAGAAATCTTTAGCAGTACAACATTCTAACATTTCCTTCTCTGTACATATTGGAGACACTGGCGTTAGTTAAAAAGAATCTTGACATGTTTGATGTTGCTTCCAGTGACAGTTACTTCACTCCGAAATACTCACAACTTTCCCATCCCCAAACACTCCACTTCATTCTTCCAACATCATTTACAGTACAACGCTACACAGCTGTACATCAGCCTCCCTCTGGCTTTAAGACTGAGCAGGATCACCAGACTTTCAGAGGGCGGTGAAGAGATTGCTCTTAAATAAAGTATTTTACAGTGTCCGGGATTTTTTGGCTGGTAGCTGTGCTGGTAGTCACAACTTGTAAATAGTTTTACAAATGTTAACTACCTAAGAAGCTGTGTATTTTAGTTTTACTACAGTTTATTTTAGTTTATATTTTCATAGCTAACGCTAATTGTATTTGGTTGATTTGGCTGAATAAATTACATATATGACATATTTATGACTTAATACAGAGTGTTCCGGAACTCTCTCCCAAAGTTTTAGGGTATTGTTCCTGAGTAATAAACATACCTAAATATCATATTAAAATTGTTCGGAAGTCTTTAGTTATTCACACAGCCTCCATTTTTTTTCGCTTATTATTATTTTCTAAAAAGTGGTTAATGATAAGAATTTGAAACTTTTGCACAAACATTTATGACAACTAGACAAAGCTACAAAACATTTAACAATTTATCAAATTCATAAAACAAAATGGCGGCTGATTAAAATTTTGTTTCTTAAATACCGTAACTCAAAAACCGTCGATTTTACAAAAAATTTAAATGGCCGCCATTTTGTTTTATGAATTTGAAAGATTGACACAATTTGTTTGTAGCTTTGTCTAGTTGTCATAAATGTTTGTGCAAAGTTTTAATTTCATATCTTCATCGAATATTTAGAAAAAAAATAAAATTTATTAATAAATGGCGGCTGTGTGAATAACTACTTTAAGGACTTCCGAACAATTTAAATATGATATTTAGGTCTCGATTTGAGAACCGAGCGAGAGTGATTTCATATGATTTTATTACAGTATTTATGATTTCGGACACAATATTTTTTTGTCAACACGTCAACTGAAATTAATTGATAGGAGAGTTTATTCAGTCTTTAAAATACTGGAAATATTCCAAAACAAGTAGATTAAAACATCTCAGCTGCGCCTGCACGTAACGAAGACTGCAGTCCCGCTACGCAAAATAGTTTTGCGAGAAGATTGTCTCCAATTGTAGGAACTTGTCGATAATGAATAATCTATAATATAAATAAATTCATTCAATTTACAAATATATTTGATCAATATTTCCGTCTATATTTGTATTTTAGGCATAAAAAATATAAGTTAAATGGATAATAATACGCTAGAGCTAGAGAGAACTACGCTCAACACCCTCTTTTAACGCAAAGTAAGGTAGGGTCTTGAAAACCCGCATTTCCAACGAACGAGATTGAACTGTCCTCTGACAATTAAAGTAAAGATTCGCTAATAGTTCATTCATTGTGAGGCCAAAATCATATAAATCCGATGTTTCTTGAAAACCTTTGTTCTCAGCTCGAGTGCATCGTAGGGAAAATCTACGCATACTGTTAGAGAGATATATTTCCGTAGATATGCAGAACCCTTTTATAAATTAAAATACATTAAAACATAAGCACCAAAAAGGATTTTAAAATTTCGAAAAATAACATATGCATTATGGGTGGCCTGCTGGTGACGAAATAATGACGCAATATAAACAGAAAATCAAAACAAATGGAAGAAATTCCAATCGCATGTTTTATTTACAGCTTGGGGTAAAAATTGAGAAGTCTGTACATTAGGCATTTTTGGTCGAGTTTTCGACCACTGGACGACTTCTAGTAATAATAAAAAGTCACCCTAATTTTTACATACTCCCCTGTATTTGCAAGGTAACAATGCTTAAGTAGATTAATAACTTAGCCCATTTGATTTTTAATCCCTTAGTAGTCTTTTCGAAGTTTTACCTGTGCATAATACTTCAATCTCTCTCCCAACATAAAAACCCTGGGCAGACATCATGCTCATTGTCTTGGTACTAATTAGCTGAGTGTAAACAGCTAGGGACATTTCATGTTTTTAATTAACACATTATGTTTCGGTCGTGTGAACGCTTCACGCGTCCCATACAAACTGTCTCACTTGTACTTTTGTTACTTCCTTTAACATTGAGAAAGTATGAATAGTCCAATTAAAAATACCAGTCGTATAAGAAAGTTTTGTAACGTTATTGGCCATGCTTATTAGAATTTTCATAATTTTATTACATTTATACAGGACCACAATACTCGTATTTTAAACTAAGTTTGATTGATAGATGGTTGTTACGTAGTGAGATGATCTGTAGGCTACTGTGTAGCTTTGTTACTGCTAAGATCAGCTGTTTCCTTAGGCAGGGATGAAATGAAATGAAATTAAAAATGAAATGAAATGACAATGAATTGAGATTAAATGAAAAATCATTTATTTACACAGGCAAAGCTAGGGCCACATGGCCCTTTCTTACACTTAACCTGTACTTTAAAATTTGATATAAATATTTTAATAGAATCAGCTTATACAATAAAACAAAACACAAATCATAGATATAGAAATTTTAAAAAAATCTGTAAATTAAAAAAAATACTTACAGACACACACATACATACAAGTCAGTGACCGCCATGCGCACCAGCCCCTACGACAAACCTACCATGGCCATGCGTTCTAAATAGAGATTTTTTAGTGCTGCTACAAACCAGAAACGACTATCGAGATCATTTGTTAATACGCCTATTGATCTTGATGATTTGTATTGAGGGATCATTTGTTATTTCCCAATTATCAAGGACCGTTTTGCCAAGGTATACCATTCACTGTATAATCAGTTATTGTGCTTCGTATAAACTGCTTTGAAGAAGACATCACATTACCGTTTTTATGTTTTAGCCAGCATTAAATTAAACATAAGAAAGATTACTGATCAGTTAAATTGTAGAATCAGAATTACTGTTTGAGATTTGTCTATGGTCTGTGACGTGAGGAGCATATCACTCCATACTACCTTGAGGCACAAATCCTGAAATAAAATTATCAAAAAATTTCATCAACATTTTGTCACTGTTTTTTAATTTTTTCATTTTGAAAACAGACTCACC